TTGTGATCATATTTATAGAAGCTTCATCATATCCCAGAAAATATTAGCAAAACAGCCACTTGTGGGTATACTGTACTTTCCTAATATTAATCACAGTTAAAGAGCCTGAAATAAGGTAAGAAAAAAGACAAGGATTCAAATACTACACTTGCCAGTTGCTTTGGAAACATTGTACTTCCCATATGTATTTACTGTCCATGGAATTAGAAGACAATGCTTGTTAAAATTCCTGACAATTTCCAGTCCTGCCACTTCTACACAAAGAAGTGCTGCTGCATCCTGGCTGCCAGCAGTTTGGCAGTTCGAGTCTCACCGACTCAAGGTTGACTCAGCCTTCCATCTTTCCAAGGTCAGTAAAATGAGGACCCAGATTGTTGCGGGCAATATGCTGACTCTGTAAACCACTTAGAGGGCTGTAAAGCACTGTGAAGCAGGATATAAGTCTTAAATGCTATTACTATCCCTCTCTTCAATATTCTTACTGTATAGACTACTTTGGGGACTCTTAAACATTCTTTTGAAGAACTATTAACAGACAAGAGTCTTCTCTAGTTTTTACTTTGCCAAATTTTGTCATACATTTTTATACAAGAGAGGCATGGAAACCTTTCTCTATCAAGGACTGCACCAAGCCTTATGTAGGAATCCATAATACATGGGATCAGAACCCAAATATCAAAGTTAGTCAAAATTTTAAAAAATGTGTTTTACTGACACAATAATTACAATTTGACAATTACTTGGGCATTGCAAGGACAGCTCTTGGAAACCACAGATTATGCAGTCTGTATAATCTTCCCCAAACTTTTAAGATGTCTTTATATATTAAAGATGTCACTGATAAGATGTGGGGAAGAAGAATAGAAAATTAACTACATCCAATACTAGAAAAATGACTATATTTTTCATTATATTGGAAGACAAAAGCAAAAATAGAATATAGTTTTATTTTTCTTATATTAAAATAGTGCCTGCTAGTAGTGCATTACGTAATAATGTCTTAAACCTAAAATACATCTTCTAGGATTCTGTTGCTTTAATGAACTGCAGTGAAGGGACTAGTTCATGCATTTCAAAACACCCTTTTAGCCTTTGAATCTAAAATGCTGCATTAAGCCTGTTTTACATCATTTCATTCTAGTGTGTCCCAACCTGATGCTCTCTAGCTGAATACATTCATTCAGCACGTCAGTGAAATAATCTTAACACTGACTAGGGTTATTCTGTTTGACCTGTAGTGTTGTGAAAGATATCTTAAAAAGTGAATTAATTCACTAACATGTTATGAGGGTTGCATGAACACAGTAACTGTTTTCAGTTACAACTTGGAGTATCATTTTATGAATCTGGAAAATGAAGTCCAATATAGCGGAAGATATCCAGGATGGGAAAGGCCATATACCAAAGAACTTTACCATTCTGTAAAAAACCACAATGTCCTGCCCTTGCTAATGCCCCATGATCAAGTATCCAAGGAACAAAAAGACTAAACGAAATGAGAGTTGGTGCAACTCTTTATTACAGTGGTTCTCAACCTTTTTAATGCCGCGACCCCCATCCGGTCGTAAGTCGAGGACTACTCAACCGGTCGTAAGTCGAAGACTACTCAACTGGTGCAGCACCGTTTGCAGAATGGGACTTTTGGCGGGCTCAGCAGAGCAGAGACAGCCTGGACAATTCCTATTGGCTTTTGAAAGCCAATAGAATTAGAGTCTATTCAAGAGAGTCTTTTCTATTGGCTTTCAAAAGCCAATAGAATAAAAGGGAGTAGCACAGCTAAGGAAAAGGGGAAAAAATGGCGGACTGCGTTTGGCGACCCCCGTGAAATGATCGTTCGACCCCAAATGGGGTCCCGACCCACAGGTTGAGAACCACTGCTTTATTAAATCCCTAATCTGAAAACTCTGATAGCTCTGAGAGGCAGTCTCAATTCTAAATTTAGTTTATAAACCAGATTGATGAAAATTAAAATAACTGTAATGTTTGCCTAAAGATCATTAACTCATCAGTGTGACTTTCTTATCTGCCCTCCACAAGAAGTTAACAAGAGAGCAGGGGCTATAATATGAAATCCTGTTAGATGTTATGTTTATCCCTCCATGCATTGGCATTGCCCCCACACAAATACCCCAAGATATTCAAATATTTCCTATTAGAACTAGCAGCTGTCCTCTGAATTCCAGGATGTACCTTAAACATTCTGAGAAAGAAACCCAAGATTTACTTAGTGCTAAATGGTGTTCAGAAATATGGTATCAGTATAGGACAGTAGTTCTCAACCTTTCTAATGCCGCGACCCCATAATACAATTCCCCATGTTGTGGTGACCCCCAATCACTTATACATCACCGGGTACCAGGGGCATGGCCAAAGAAAAGAGGGAAAAAATGGCGGACAGCCTTGTTTGGCGACCCCTGTGAAATGGTCATTCGACCCCAAATGGGGTCCCGACCCACAGGTTGAGAACCACTGGTATAGGAGAAGAAAAAAATATAAGAAAAAATAGTTTATGGAGACTTGGACTACACATACAATGCATGCAGAATATTTTAATAAAGTCTCTTTCAATTACATATTCTAATACTCCCAGGCTTGAAAAGCTTCTTAAAGTAATAAAAATGCTACTATTTTTTTAGAGGACCTCCCTGATCTAAATTGCTGTGAAATGTACTCAACAACACTTAGGAGACATAGGACACTGTGGGGTTTATGGAAAAATAATATATTTGGTACATGGCTTTTCTCTACCTGGGAATCTCTAGATACATTAGCCTTCATTTTCCTGAATTCATAAAATTATAGGAGTTGCAAAATCTAGGCATGACCCTTCTCTTAATGACTAATAAAAATAAGGTAGTAGTGGTTCATGAGGTTTAGAGTACATTAGTCAGGTTTCACTTCTTTGATTGAAGGCAACTTAAAAATAAACTTTAAAAAAAATAACTTAAGGATTTTTAAAAGTACTGCTGTCACCTAATTCCACTAGCTTGAAATGCTTCAAAATGTTCCCATCGATAGTAAATTCCAAAATTGAATGTTCTGGCAACAAGAGCAACTATGTTAACTTCATGCTGGTACTGGAATTTCCTCTTACTGATTTAAATAGGAGGGAATATTTAAAAAAAAAATCAGGGGAAAAATATTCTGGCTCTCAATGCAGTTACTGAAACTGTAAGACAGCCTCTTTATGTCTACCTAGGGCAGTGTTTCTCAACCTTGACAATTTTAAGGCATGTGGACTTCAACTCCCAGAATTCCACAGCCAGCATTGCTGGCTGTGGAATTCTGGGAGTTGAAGTCCACATGCCTTAAAATTGTCAAGGTTGAGAAACACTGACCTAGGGATAGCTCTCTTCTTGATGAAACTACCTGCATCAGTTTCAGTACTATGCAGACTTGATCTTAATTAATATGGCTTTTATTTAATAGCCCATTCATATATAATTTTAATACACAATTCATAACATGCAATATACAGGACTGACTGAACCTTGAAATAAAAACATAAATATTGTAGCATCAGGGTAGTCTACTCCTTCAAGGTTATATTTATAATGAATAAAATGGATCGTCTAAATAATATAGTAATTTATTTACTAATAAGGAGTTCATTAATAATAATGTTCAGGCCATAGAAATGGCTGATTGGCTTTTAAAAAGACAGCAAGAAAAAATAACATAAACAGATCTACATTAGATCAGACAAGAGATCCATCTGGTCCATAGTCATTCCCAAAGTGGTTAACATAAGTCTGTAAGCAAAAAAGAAGATATTATTCACTCTCTAGTTTGTCTTTCTGGAAAAAAAAGGCTAATTCACCATCATAACCAGGAGGCATAGGTAGCTTTATCTTCCATTGATTAATTGAATCCTCCTTTTTAAAACCCATTTGTAGCTCTTACTGTATCTAAATGACCAAGTTTAACCTCAAGCTCTTCTTTTAACAGTCATTACTCTCTGGCCATTTAACTTTTCTGGATGCAAGGTTTTAATGTAAGTGGAGAACGTATGGTTTCTACATAATGCATAGCTTTGTACAATCACACTTCCCTCAAACTAAACCAAGCCCCAAGTTATCGTTTTTTCTGAGTATGGTATCCTTTCTGTCTTTGTTCATTTTGTTGATTTCGATCGCTTTGTCATCACACATCTTCTCCAGCGGTGACCTGAACGATGCACAATATTTCTGATACTGGCAGTTTTATTTTCCATTCCTGAAATTCGCCAACACGGCATTTGCCCGTCTCGTGGATTATACGACATTCCGAAACGGTAGCAGAGATTTTTGCCCACGCAAATCATATTTTTTTTTAGTCCAAACCACATCTGCCTCATCGCCGAGCCAACGGCCTATAGGAATGACTACTGCACAGTCCTTGACCCTTTTTGCATGGAAGCCGAAATCCACTTTTTTGCTTGGAGTCTAAAATCACTTTAGGCAGCAGCTAACTTCTCTGAGTGGGACATTTACTCCAAAGGAAGTAGAGCAAATGAGCCCAACCTTCGACTTCGGCCACCTCCTCCTCCTCCCGCGGCGCTGCCAAAGTCACCCAGTTGCTTCGGGACCCCGCCCACACGTTCCCTCTGGGAGCGCTCTCTGGCTTCCTCGGCCTCCTATTGGAGCGCGTTCGCGTCACTCACCGGATGTAGTGTAACAGGGAAAGAGGGGAGAGGAGAGGCAGGAGAGGAGCAGAGGAGACGGTGGCAGCAACGGCAGGAGGGGAGGAAGGGGCTGGGCTGCGCCGAGCTGAGCGCTCGCCCCACAAGGAAAGAGCGAAATCGAGGCGGCTACTTACCTGCCTGGCCGCGCCCTCCGCCGCCGCTGCTGGGCGAGGACTGCAGAGCAAGCCCTTCCGTAGCAAACGGTCCCTCCGCCCGCAGCGGCCCCCAGACCCCGAGCCAGCGCTTCCCCAGCTGCCTTCAACTCCGCCCCCCCCCACCCCGTCTGCGCTCCGCAGCCATTTTCGTCGCCACCTTGGCTACCGAAGGGCTGACTCACCTCGGCACTGCGGGGCCCTGGCTCGTCGTCCGGGGGCAGCCCAGCTTTCCTGGCGACCACCCGCTCTGCCACCCCCGTCGTCGCCTTCCTCCTCTTCCTCCCCCTCCTCCCCCTGCGGCGCCGGCCCGGGCAGTCCAGCCTGGCTCGCTAGTCCCAGGCGAGGACGGGTCCCGGGGCCGGGCCGGGCGCGGTGGCAGAGGAGGAGGCGGCAGCTGAGGCGGCTCCCTCCCTCCCGGCCGTGACCACCATCTTATTAGCACAGGAAATGACATGGCGAACGGAAGAGAGGGGCGTTCGGGGGCTGAGCCCGGGGACCCCCCGAACCCGGAGGAGGAGGGGAAGCGGCGGGGCTGGCGGGCGGGCGGCTTCCAGGCCCAGCCTCGGCGGCGAGGGAGTCCCCCTCCCCAAATGCTCCGCCTTGGCCCCTCTGTTTTTCCACTGGCTCCTTCGCCAGGAAGCCCCACGCCCCCGTTTTTCTCCCCGCCATTCTCGGGTTTCTCCCGCGGCAGCAGAGAAAGGATCTGACCCAGAAATAGCGCGGCGTCCGCAGCAAATGGGAGCGCACCGGCAACCTGTCCCTATTTAATATATATATTAATATATATATTATTAATATATATCGAAATCCAATATTTTGATTTTTCTGCTATATCCCCCAAACTTAAGCCTTGGTGACAGCTTGGCGCGTCCAGGCTTTCTCGGAAAGGGGTGCAGCTTTGTTCCGTGCGCCTTTACTTGGAAGTAAGTCTAACGGCGCTCACTTTCCAGAAAGGCGATCCCTGTTTGTTTTCGGCCTTTACCTGCCGGCTTTGGGAATCGGGAATTCCGGTTTATTTGCCTTTTCTACCTCCCGTTTTGATTTTGAACTTGCGCTGACGTGCACGGCGTGAAGGATCAAACGACTGGCATTTCAGCAAAAAAGATAACTCCTAGAAGTAATTCCCCGTTCATCTAGTTCACGGTGACTCTCAAGGAAAGCTGCAGTTACTCATGTTTGCGTGGGAGTGCTAATAAGGCTATATATATAAATAAATATAGACGAGGTCTGATACAATGCTGGGTTCAGGCTATGCGATAGCCCGCGGGGAGGAATAGTAGTTCTCAGGATTTGGCATACCGAACAAAGCAAATTTTGTCCTAGTATTTCCTGACAAGGCATCTGCCAGAATTGCCAGAAAACTCTTGTATGCAATACAATGGATTGTCCTGCTAAGTTCATGCAGCATAACAGGGATATATATAAATTAGCCTCTAGTGGTTACCATTATGATGTGTGGCAATGAATACATATTTGCATCATGGTCAATTTGTTAATTCAGATATCTTAAGAAATTCAATCTTTAAGACAGAAGCCTCCTAAGTTACACATCAGATTGGACCCCTTAACTGCCAAGTTTAGGAATGTTTTAAATAGTATATTGGGGAGAGGGTTATAATCCTATGTGTGTTATGAACTAATTTACAAGAAAAGTTTGTCCATGTTGACAAGCAGGCATTATTCAGTCTAAAATACATTCCAGAATCCTGTTATCTCTTACTGTATTATTCTGCATACATTACAGTATTTACTTGTAATGTAATTTAAAAACTGTTCCATCTCTTACTGTACTGTTCTGCATATCTGATGGATATACTGTTGTGTTTGTGTCATGATGCTATATTGGATATAAGAAGAGGAAATAAAGCTTTGTTCACATCTACACACCTCGTAATTTACAGTTGTGTTGAACATTCTTTGATTTTCAAATCAACATATTGATTTTTAAAAAATATTTATTGTTTTATCATAAAAAGTAATACAAAACAAAAACAAAATGAAACAATACAGAAGCATACTTTCAACCCTAACAACAACAAAAAAGAAAAAATCTGTACAAAAAAAAGGACATTGCAAAGGACGCATTGAATCTTCTGTGTGTTTTCATTGGAACTTACTCTAAATTGAATGTGCAGGGGTCACTATTGCACAGAGAAATTCTAAAATATATGAAGGGATTCTTGATAAAAGAGGTGTTCTGACCAGGGATAAAGTTAGAAGGGTGAATTTTTCACCTCTAAAAACATCCCTCAACAATTTACACACCTTTTCCTGGATTAGAATTTTTTCTTGCTTGGTCTCCTAAGAGGAAGGAATCTTTAGATATTGTACAACAGAATCATTGCTTTCCTTCCTAAGGCTCAACCAAGTGCTTTATATCCCTATTGCAATTGAAATACAGTAGATGAAAGACCATCAGAAAGGCAAGTGCAAACGTACAAATGAAAAAGATGTCTTTAAAAAAAAATCCTACAAATACTTATGTGGTTTATTTCACAAATTATAGATTTTCTTATTTACAAATTATAGGAATCGACTAGATTTTTTTTCCTTTTCAGATCTCCAGTTCAAACAAGGTAACCAGAACAGTAAACAATTATAGATGAAGTGACTGGTTGTAGAATATTTGTCTTCTTTTTGAACATTTTGCTTATAATTTCCCATACTAATGTCCTTTTCATATGTGCAGCACATTGTTTGCATTTACAGTGTACACTTCCTTTTTTATTGTGCTCCCAAAATTTCTGATCTAGCTCCAGTTAGATTTAAAAAAACAACTTTCCATAAGCAAAACAACACAATCCAGAATCAAATCCACAACACAATAAATAGAATAAAACCACTAATGATTATATATCATTTCAGCTGAAGTCCAGATCAAAATTCTCAAATTTTTAATTTGTACGAACATTAGAATAACAAATATATCCTTTGGGTTCATCAGTAGCATTTCGGCATATTAATCTTGTTACAATTTTCTGTATCTTTTGCTCTTTATGATAACCCTTTGATAGTTTGGTAACTGAATGTTGGGGTTTTTTTCTAAAGAACCCAGAAGAAATAAATGCTGTTTTTATCCCTTGATGTTTCATTCTTCCCATCACTATTCACTCTGAACAGAGAGACTCCTCTAGCCCAGTGCCTTAACCGCTATACCAATTCAACTGGCTCCACTATTTTTAGCTCTGGAATTTTGACTTCAACAATGATTGTTTATAAGTGTTAAGATTATTTTAGAATTAAAATAGTAACCATCTTACTTGACAGTCATCTGGGTAATGCAAATATCATTCAATAAGTAGTTTAATGATTCTGTCCTCTGCTCTAGTTCTTTACCATGCGAAAAGTATGTGTATCTTTGTGTCTTTGCCTTTGTCAAGCCATTTTGTTTGTAATGCATCTTCATACTTGGAAAAGAATACTTAATGCGATATTTGCTTTTGCCTCTCCTTGTTTCTTCCAACCTCTCTAAATCCTTTTCCAAATTCATGGAGTTACATTCAGTTTACTAATCATTGTGTATGTCTTCGTTCCCCACTTCCTAGTTCTGTTAAATGTTAAAATTCTCTGCTGGATTCTTTGGGTTCTGATTAAAATCTTTGCATTCCTATCATACCCAAGGATTCTGAAGATTCTGTTTATAATCAATGCATTCAGACATTCCATCAATAATCTTTTCCAAAGAGTAGATAAATAGATGGATTAGGGAAAATACATTTTTGTTAAACTTTTATTCTATATAGTTAGTCCCCTAACTCAATATAGAAGAAAGATCATGTATTTGTCAGTAATATACAGTTAATTCATTGAAATGGTCATGAACTGCTTTCTAGGTAAGTGAATGCAACGTATTACTATAATATGAATGTCAGAATAGTAAAAAAAAAGAAATGTACTCAATATAGTACCTGTTTGGATGTACATTAAGCCCTAAGACCATAGACTTGGATAATGACATGAAATGACCATCTAAGAAAAAAATGAGTGTGAATTAAGCCATGATTTGATCATAAAGTACAAATTCAGTCATTTATTCTATAGTATACAGTATATAATTCAAAGGTGAACCGGAATACAATATTTTTTTTTCTATGGGATGGAATAATTTTCAGTGTATGTTTGGGCTGTTTTGATTAAGTGATTTTGTTAACTGCCAAAATTGTGATCATCTGTATAATTTGGTAGGCAATATTGGAAGCATCTAAAGACTGCCTACTGTAAGTTTGATAAATTGTCTTGGACTGAACTTAAGTTTTAGCGTACTTGCCATTGGGACACTCTTATGTATATCTCATAGTAATGAGTGAGAACATAGAAAAAGCTTAATACCCATTAAAATTTGGCAATTAACATGCAGTCTATTTCAAACTCTCAGTATATATTAGGTTTTTATGCTCTCATTTTTTAAAAAGAATAATCTGGTCTCTGATCATCTATTTTAATAATCTCACCAAGCAACATAAAAGCTTAATAAGTGGTCTTAAACTGTTAGTAATCTAAATAGCCAAGAAAATTAACTGACACACTATAGATTAGGTTTAATCAAACAACCTTTGTAAAACTTATTGTGATACATTAGCAATTCTGCAACATAAACTATTAAAAGTTAATTTTTATTTCTTATATGCCATTGCTGGTACACAGATTTAAATAAAAAAGTTAAGCAATTCAGGACAGATTTGGTAAGAAAAAAATGTTAAAAATTCATCTATAGTCATAGTTTATACCAGTGATGTTTAATTTGGTGTTTATTCATTCATTTTCAAACTAGCTAATACAATAGAACATCTGGTGAGTTACTATAGCTACATATGGATTGTTAATATATGAGATATGGTACAACATTAATATCTAATGCTTTATGTTAACATTAAACCATATAGTTCTTTAAACTGCATCTCTCTTTGTACTAATCTGCACAATGCCATACAAATGAATGAGGACTAAATCCAAGTAGATTTATCTTCAATTTTTCTTTAAAAAAAACGCTAGCAGAAGATGAAAGATTTTCAAAATATTCTGAAATCTTGTTAAATATTAAGGGTTTAACAAAGGTAACTAAACTTAGGTCATGAGGGTAGTTGTATAGAAGCACATCAGTACTATTATACATTGTTGCACATTTTTCCCTGTTCAGTTCATATACATCATTTACTGAATTTAGGAACACAAATGCCAACCTTTCCCCATTGCTTAGCTTAACATATAAGTTATAGATTTTTGCTTGGCCAAAAAGTAGAGGATTGCAGGGAAGAGTAGTTCTGGAGTACAGCAGATGTTATTGGAAAACAATAGAATGGAATAGAATAGAATAGAATAGAATAGAATAGAATAGAATAGAATAGAATAGAATAGAATAGAATAATAACTTTATTGTCACTTTGAATGTACACTAATTGGCATACATTAAAATGAAATTTTGTTGCATACAGCTCTCAAAAGGTCACCACCTCCAATATACACTGCGTAAATATGACAATAAATAAATAAATATAGAATTATGTATATACCAACATATATGACACAGAGAAACAACACAGTCTAGTTCAGATTATGTATACTTGTGCGTGGCAAGAAAAACGAATCTTGCTAGTTTACCAGATGGATGGCATAAGGCAGGGGTCCCCAACCCCACCGGTCTGTGGCATGGCAGCAACCGGTCTGCACAAACAAGCAAGGCCCCATCCATAGGATGCAGGCAGCACACAAAACCACACATTCTCCAGATCGCGGAAAAACCTTTCACCACAGAACCTGTCCCTGGTGCCCAAAAGATTGGGGACCTCTGGCTTGGGGAACAAAGCTATTACAGAATTGGGTAGCCCTGCTAGAAATACTTTGGGGAGCAACAGAAACAGATCGTAAAGTAGGTGTGTGGGGTCTCTAACAATGCTCTGAGCTCTAAGCACATAGTGCTTATACATTGTCAGATTTAATGAGTTTTCCATGTAGAATATTCTCCTGGTGTTTAAGATTTCCCATTAAATGCCCAAAGAGGATAATCGAGAGTTCTTTTGTTATGTCCCCATCCCTGATGACTTAGGTTTGGTAACACTTGCGTCTAAATTGTTGAAAAAGTTAGGTTTGGATCCTGAAGCTTCTTGAGGTTCCTTCCTAATTCTATTGATTTTGGATTGAAGGCCCTTTGCCTTTTTTTGAATTTATTTTGCATCCTGTTGACTTTGTGCTTTTCACATGTATAACAGGACCAGTGATTTTTTTTTCATTCCATCCCATTTGGTGCTTCTCCTTTTCTGCACTTCATCCACACTTCCCTTTCATGGCTGCATCTCCTTTCAGTCTGTCTGCCTTGGAGAGCTTCACCTTTTGGGTTGGATACAGCTTGCAACAGAATCACATTTCAGCAGATGATGATGATGATGATGATCTGCTTGCTGGGGCTTTCTTGCAAATTTGATTGACATGTTGCAAGGATTTAGGCAAGTGTACAATATGAATATTAATATATTTAACTGAGTGAGAATAGGGTTTTTTTTCCTGGCAAATTTATTTTAATATAGAATTATATTGGTTAACAATATAATAATACAGGCAGACAAACTGTTCTCATTTTCATTTTGAGAACAAGATCATCTTAAATTCAAGATCATTTTCCTTTGGAGAGATACATTGGAAGCTAGACCCATAACAATCAAGCTCTAAGACAAATTGTTTATTTTATATCATTGGACAAATCTGGATAGCTCATATAAAACTTTAAAACAATAAATATAGCCCAATAATTAACATTTGAGACCTGAAAAAAGTATTAAAACTAATTGTGTGACTGGTATACACAGATTCAAATTTAAATAAATTTAAATATAATAATTTTGATATTCATGTTTTGTTTCTCGTATATTCAGTAAATCCCAATTTTTTAACTTGTATCAATGCCTGTTCCTGGCTGTCTTTACATAATCAGTCAATGTGTTTTGTTTTTTTTTCTTCTTTGACAGTTGGTTTGACTTGAACTAAACCTCTGCCTCCATTTGTGCATAACCGGTATAATCTATCAATATCACTATAGGGATGAAATGCATAGTGAGATGCACTTGTTTTTTGCTCATAACTCCCCAATTCTGCTTGTGTCCAAAGGCCTGTTTGACCTCAATAGAGATGGTCCTCACTTAATAACATTAATTGGGACTGGAATTTTCATTGTTAAGTGAAGCAGTCATTAGATGAAACATCATATTACCTCACCCTTAAATGGGAGTAGTTCCCATAGTCCCAATTCCGGTTGTTAGGTGAAGACCATGCTGTCATTAGGTGAGGGTATCACATATCCCTTGTCCTGTTAAAACTGCTGGCTCCATCCCACTGCTTCCTCCCATCTGAGCCTGGCAAACTCCCTTTGACAAAGAAGGCCCTATTGCCCTGCCAGGCCTGCCTGTCTCTCTCCTATCATTTCCCTACACTCTGCCACTTCCAATCCCTGCTGCCCCCAAATGACCTTTGGCATCTTTCTACAGCTGAAGTGTACTTGACCAAGGAAACTCTTGTCCCTTTGTGTTGCTTCAACAAGGCCTCTGCAATGCCTTACTATACACATTCCCTCAATATCATAAATTTATGGTGAT